TACTGCAGGTGTTTGACGACATTGACGAGGCTTTTGTTTGACTGGCGAAGAACAAGGTGTTGAGCCTAACGGCCGAATTCTCTTGATAGACGCTCTACTAGACATGGCCTGATGGTGATATCGCATATAAGGGAAAAAAAAAAAAAAAAAAAAAATCAATAAAAAAAAATAAATAAATAAAAATAACCCTATAATTTATAACAAACAATAAATATCAATTGTTGTTATGTACTCTTGGCCTGTTTTGAATAGATAATCTCAAAGATTTCACTGTAAAATAAGCAAATTCTGAGAGACGATGTAGAAACACGACCTTTCGCATCAGCTGATCCACCATACGAACAAATATTAATAAAATAATTTAATTGTCAAATTTTTTTTTTTTAAATTTATTATTATTTATTTTTTTTAAATTTAACTTCCTTTATTCTATACGGAGGTCGCTTAAGAATGGCTCTATTATAAAAATTATATAATTATAATAATAAAACTTAATTCAAAAATACTTTGCAGAATATCTTTATTTTTTATTTAATATTTGCAATTTAACATTTTGTTTTATATATTTACTGATTCTTAGAGGTAATTTAAATTGTATATACTTCCCCGAAAATGAGTCATATTAATATCTGTTTTATAAACTAAAATAATATATACCTAATCTGAACTACTTTTAATGAATAGGTGATGGATTGTTTAGTAAAATTCATATATCGCTATTAAAAAAAATAATTTTTATTTCCTTTATTTTTTTCAGAAGTTGGACTATATCACAAAAAATACGAAATTTTAAGATTAAATACATTTTTCTCTCTCCATTCTCTCTGCACAAAAGAAATATGGAAAGGGCGAAGCTATAAGTTCTTCTAGGTAACTGGAACTGAATCTCAAAATGAGGGAAAAGTCGAAATTGAACCCAAACATTGGAAAAATACATTAAGCGAACGACAAAGTAAGTGCCAAAATTTCGGAAAGAAAACAAGGATCAGTATCCATTATATGGCTAAACGAATATATAGTAGACAGATGAACAGAATATTTCAAGATGCTGCAACTCGAAATGCTGTGCGTACAAAGGCTACAAATGTATTAGAAAATGATATGAAAGGACTGTAGTTTTGTCCCTTTACAGGAAATGAGATAATAGGAAATGTTATTCGAGATTCCTTACTGTTTATAGTACCAAAGAAAGTCTACTCAAGAATCGTACTCTAAGAAGTCTACTCAAGTCAAAGTCGTCAATCCGCCATGTTTGTTCGTTCACTTTTTTTTGTGGGAACATTGGCTTTTTTTTAATAAATTGTCACAAGGAACACAATGATATGCAATTTATAGGGATGTGGGGGGAGGGGGGAGAGAGGGTGCACGGTAAGGGTGTCTGGCCCACCATGTATCTCAGTTTGCCCCCCTCTGTCAGATGTCCACAGTACTTCTGATGGGATTGGAACAAATGTAAACAAACAATTCATGGCAGAGTTGTACTGGGCTGCCAGAAGCTGAATGGCCTAATAGCCAACGGCAGAGACGTTTAATAAAAAAAAAATATATATATATATATTTTAATTTTACATATAATATAAACTTCCACCATTTTTGTTTTGGTACATCACCCTCCCCTAATCAAAATGGAAAGTAAGCACTTATAGCCTGCGACTTGTACATATGAATTTGTAAGCATATTTCGGTTTGTTATTTTGAATTATGCACCTTCAGAATCTAACTAGGCAAGAACTAATCCCTCACTCAAATATGTTTAATTTTAACATTTGAATTAAATTGAAATATGGATTTATATCACATTCCTGAATTTGTGTATCTGAGCTAAGGTTTTCAGATTTTTTATGTTCATGTTTTGTCTTAAGGGTGGCCATTTGAATTTTTTTCAAGAAAAACCTTTACAACAGGACACAATTAATATTTCCCACCCTTGAATAGGCTTTAAAAGTTAAGATTTCCAATAAGAATTGGAAACCTCCATTTATTTTTTTTTTAATTCTTCAAAGGTGGATAAATTTACTATAAAAGAATGTTACTCAAAGGTGTTTGTAATTAACAAAACTACAGATAATTATAAAGGATTATATTTCAGTTTATTTAAAATACATCTAAACAATTTTAATTCATTTCTATTTATATAAAATAACATTAAACAATTTAAAAAAACACATCACGAGTTGTAATTATGGTACGCAGCAAAGCATCCTTCAAGGCAGAGGCCAGGGTTATCAAGACATTGTGGACAATAAAAATTGCTATCAACACGTTTTTTCATTTTGCTACATTGTCTGCACTTTTTTCTGCCTTGTATGTTTTTGTCACAAACTCGAGGAAGATGGATTTTTGAATCGGCATCATATTTTCGAGAAGCTCTTGACTTCATACCCATTTTGCCTTTAAAATAACAAAACAATTAGATACAAGTGGATATATATATACAAAGAGAGAAAATATATACTTACAGAAAAAATGGCATTTAGGTCAAGCTCAAAACATTTCTGCAGAGGGTGGAGCTTAACATTCATAGAAATCTAATAAAACAATGAGAACTCTTTTTTGCTCTTGGAGAAGGTAAAACAATGCCAGAGGCGGGTATCAGTTTCAAATTAGTAAATTCTTTCACAAGAAAAATTTAAATATAAAACATTATCATTGCGAGTGAAGTCCTTTGTTTTTGCTGCAATGTTCACAGAATCTTAGAAAAATGACAATAACTTGAACTAGATAGTGCTATCAAGATTAGGGATTTTACTGTGTGCCAGTCAAAAGAGAAACTGGACCACATCAGTCCATGGTTTTGAGAATTTAATTTGCTGAGTAATGTTTTAATGTTCTTATATTTAAATTGTATTCTTATATATCTAATTTCAACAGACGTACAGGTATTAAGTACAGAACAGAACTAAAATACTATGAGATACTACCCATCAATTTTCTTTCATTTATGGCATAAATTAAAAGTAGAAAAATCTACAATGGATCATGGATTGGGAATAGATGTAGATCCGAAAAAATCTGCACTATAAATAAATTCTCTCAACCAGGGTTTCTCCCACAAAAAAGGGTATTATGAGCTATGTCAGCATATTAAGTCAACCGATTAGGGATGGGCGATAGTCAATAGTTCGTATCCTCCCGTTAAGACACAAATTATGTTAAAATTTTATAAACTTAAAGCAATAATAGTAATAATACGTCTTCTTCATTCTTCTACCCGTTTATTGATGTACGAGATTTTGTGATAATATAATAATGTAAAAGTTATGTTTGATAATGGGAAATGGTTGCTGTATAATGGAAACGCCACATTAAGAAAAGTAAGTGTGAAGGCGTGTTTAAAACTATTCTTATCAGTATATAAAAATGAAACTAAATTATACAAGAAGCCTTCAACATAAAAAATAATTCAATCTCAAATTACTTCCTTCGAAATATTTTTACAACTCTGGTTGTGTTGATGAAAAAAATGTTACATTTACCTCACCTTTGTTTCATAAAAAAAAAATATAACTATAAAATCTACAAGAAAATGTCATTACAGTTTTATTATATTTTATACTAGGTTTTATTATCAAGTTAAATTTAGAATCATGGAAATTAAAAGACAATCATTGCTCGCCTCCTTTTTTAACCAAATAGTTAATACAATAGTACCTATACGTTGTCGATGTTTCTTGTTTGAATTCTACGATCAGGAAAATAAATGCAATTTATTTTTCTCTATAAATGTATTATATTTAATAATTTATATAGTGCCTTAACTATATAAATCTTTAAGAATGTATCTAATATAAATATTAATTATTATTAAGCTTATGCAGCATTTTAAAGTAAATAACTAAAGAATACATACAGAAAAAATAAATCTTCAATTCTTTGTTAACTTACTAAACTATATATTTTTTTTATCGATACTATCTAATTGAGTGATAGTGGAAAACTATAGACTATCGCCCATCCCTACAACCGATTATCAGACCAAAACAAGAGACGAACCAATGGCTAATTATATCAACAATAGATTTAAACTACTATCAAGAAATATTAAATTTAGCATCAAATAACACTAATAGCAGGTCAATAGATTTTAGGCGATCAATGTTTAGATTATCAGAACAATGATTTGTTTATATTAATGTTGGGACATGCTATTCAAAAATCATTCTTTCACATTAAATTTGGATCCTTGTCTATTGGATTTTGTCATTTTGTTTTTGTTGCAAAATAACCCAAAACCTTATCTGCTAAAAAAATAATTGAAATTTGACATTACTGCATTCATATTAAAAATCATTTAGACTCCAAAACATGAGACATTTCTTCCATCTATTTAATAAAACATACACCTTCATGTTTTTAGCCTGCAAACTAGTTACAGTATAAAGACTCATTCTAATAGAAAATTTTTTATTCAGCAATAAAATTAGTTATAAGTTTCCCTAGATTATTATTTTTTGGAGGTCATCCTGTATATATTTGGGACAATTAATGTTAGTATGGACTATCAAGGGATATTTACAAATAATGAAGGAAGACAAATAAACTTAATAATGTAATGACTCGCACCATTTATCTGTAGCAGCACTACTACCTCTGCTACTTTTCATAACTGCATTAATTATAACAATCATCTTATGGCATATAAGAAACTAATAAGAAAAAACAGACTTTAGGGTAGTTCAATTAAGTGAATGGTTTAACTTTTTTTTTTTTGTTGTATATTATAACACTGTTTACATTAGAAAAAAATGCTTTGTAAGGCCAGAGAACTCAATCTCCTTTAAGGGTAGTTACTTAATTATTTACTAATCACATTGCTACTGTTCAATATTAATTATATATACATCATTCAGCATAGTAGAAAAGAACTGCTATTCTTATTTTATATCAATGATTTCATTCGTAAGAATGAAGAGAAAACAAATAAATATGAATAATGAATTGCTAAAAATATTAAAATGAAAGGATGGATGTAAGGACATCAATCGAATAAACAAAATATTATCAACTCGGGTATCAATTTTATTAGTTAAAAATAATAACACTGTATTTAAAATAACCCACATATAAATGAATTGTACATCCTGCACACTTTTAAAAATTTTAACAAATGATAATGTACGCATAATACAAAATAGTTCATTTTTCAATTATTAACCTAATAAAACAATACAATAGTAATTATAAATAATGATCAATTAGTCATGAAATATGTACCTCCATCTCTTTTTTAATACATAAGGTATAACCTCGATTTCAGAAAAGAAAAAAATTACGAACTTCTGAAAACAATGATAATCAAGGCTATACCAAAAAAACACTATACCTAACAATTTGAGTTAAAATACTTAATTCGAAGATGTATTTTAGGAAGAGTACGATGCATCTTCAAAGAGAAAACTGGAAATGCAAGCTGGGCGCTGGCTGTTAAAAGAAAGCCACACCTCTGTTCCCACCCACCATTTCATCAGGGAAATACATCCCTATATTAAAGGGTAATTATAAATAATTAATCCTCCATTGTTCTTATTTACTATTTTTAAATTTTTTTGGTTTATTTTTTTTTATTTTAAATATAAATGTTAAAACCTGAAAAATCTCACGAGACTCAGAACATCCCAATCATCAGATCTACAGCTTTACTGACAATGTAGTACAGGCAGCCTATACCACTTCCTAACTCTAACAAACCTGTCCACCAATAGAAGTTAAGGCACCTGGTCGGTTAGAGATGAAGATACATAACTGTCTAAACTCAGCTGGCAGTCACCAGAGAGTTCAACTTGTATCAAAATATATATTGTACAAAGAGGAGAAGCAAATAAAGAGACAGTCACTACAAGATAGAGAGACAAAGCAGTTCAGGAGTACACATTAACATTAGGTTAACCGCCAATTGATAATTTTGGCCGCCCTGTCAAAGAACTTTACCATTACAAGCATATTTCTAGTCCAGTCCTCAACACTAAACATATACATATTAGTAGAAATAATTCCAATCACCACATGCACTTGAAATTTGCTGTGTTATATTTTTTTATATTATTGAATTTTAGGATTGTCTCTCTAGGTTGCTCATCTTGCGATTCCTGCCTGTGCTCTTTTAAATTCTTCCCATGGATTTGGTTCTTTTGAAGGCTTGTGTTGTGTCAAGGGTAAGTAAGGAGTCCTGAACCACTTGGATTTTTCACTAGTGCAAAACCTGAAATAACCAGGGGTTTTAATAAGATCCTAAAATTGTACTTTTAAGTATATTTTAAAATTAATTAAGAATAATTTAAAACTAATTTTTTCAGAGTAATAAAACTTGGTTTATATTTTACAAATTTATTATGAATGTACTATTGAAGTAATTAAAAAAGGAAAATCGTAATGTATTAACATACTACACAAACATACATTTATATCTCTTTATAGATATTTATGCTAAGAACGTTCTCTAATTATTAAATATTTTAATTAGAGAAATGATCACATCATACATGCAAAACATCTCCATATGATAAAATCATATTTGTAATAAGCAATAAAAACTGTGTAGAAATACTTCTTGAAAATGTTCCCCTCTCTACCCAAACAAAACTTTTAATAAAATTATACATCAACAAAACTGGAATTAAATACAAGGAAAAATACTATTCTTTAGAATTTGCAAATATTAAATTAAATATATATTTTTAACACAGGAACACCATAATAGATTTTACTAATTCATTAATTTATTTAACATTTTAAAGGAACTAACAAAAATTACTATTAAAGACGATATAAAAAATAATACCTTGGAACTTGATGAATAATTTGCTTAATCCTCCTCTTCATCAGATTCGGACTCTGTAAATAAAAAGTTATAATTAAAAATCTGAAAATTAAAACAAATAACTAATTTTACTATTATAGTACTAAAAATTGCTTCAAATATAATTTATAAATATTCAATAAGGGAAAACTCTAGATCCATTTTATAATTCTCCATTTTAACAGTCAACTTTATTTCTGAAATTATATTTGTATTACTACAACTACAATGCCAAATATTTGTAAAACAAAACATGAAATTACTAACCTTCCTCGGCATTTTGTAGCCATTCAACAAATTTTTTCATTTGCTCTAGGAACATCATCTTCCCCTTAACTGAGTGGCCATCCCGAAACCATTTCAAAATGACCTCCTCAGATATCACTTCCTCTGAAAAAGAAAAATTAACATTTTTAACAAAAATAATTACTTAATATATTCCTAATAAATAGGTTGTATGTATAAAATTACTTCAGACATCCAAGGAAGATAAGATAATCATTGATATGTTATCTCTATGTTTAGATATTTGTCATCACTGATACCTTTTATTATACAAATTGATTTATCATATTATTAAGTCCAAATAATTGTACCGATAAATCAGTTTGAGAAAAAAAATTGTCTTCTACATATATACATTTACTTGATTATATATCATTTACATCCGTAAGTTTTAGAACAAAACTAAAACAAATATGGTGGTAAAGAAACTTTAAATTAAAAAGAATTTATAAATTAAAAGGCGATTAAATTTATTAAATGAGAAATCACCCTCCACGGTACAGCACAGTATTAAAATGTAATGAGTTAAGTTGAGCAGCTTTCTGCTTCTGCATACCAGTCGACCTTGAATGGCAATATATCAGGGTATATTGATCTATGACAACCTATCCATTGTCACTAACCAAGGGGCAATTAGAACATATATGTTGAGGTAAATATGCTTAACATGACTTGAATTTTTATAAAAAAAAAAAAAAAAAAAGTGCACGAAAAGTTACATCACAATCCATGAAAATATTATGGGCATATAATCTTAAATGAGGTGAAGGAAGGAGTATAGATCAACTCACTAAATAATTAATTCAAGTTAAAAATAAGAATGGTTTGCCTTTCAGGCCACTGTTCACCACAATATTATTTTAAAAAATCAGCAATAATTTGAACTTGCCTGGACTTCGAGGATGAAAAAAAGGCTGAGCATAAGTGAATGTTAAGCCCTAGTCTTCTACAAACTGCAGTATTTAAAATAGTCAATTACTGGATCTAACAACACCCTATGGAATTAATATGGTTAGTAAGAAGCATATAAATTTTTTAAGATCTCTAGATCAACATGATATATAAGAGAGTTTCCCCTTCTTCAACATAATACCATATCAGCTGTGGATCAAGACTGGATTTGGGAAAATATTCAGCCTCCATAAAGTTGGTACCCTTAATTGGAGGAAAAATGTGTTAGTCCCCTAGCAGTTATGGAAACGAGAGTCTTAATTTTATACTGAAATATTAATTTTGTTCTATAGAAATCACTTACTTTTGTAAAATAGCAGTATTATTTTCTGAAATATTTTCATGAAATTCATGTTGTCATAGCAATATTCTTGAATCTTGAGAAGGAGTGCCATTTCAGATTTTGTGTTGTCCGTAAATGATGCAAAAAGTTGGGTATACTTTTGGAGATGTTTTAGAGCCTGTTCAGCGACTAATTCTTCTTTTTTATTCCATTCAGCCAGTGACATAACAGTGCTCCAGATCTGCAAAATAAGAATAAAGTGAATTTAATTAAACAATTATTAATAATTTCATTTATTAACAATATACAAGTAATAGGAACATTTTTTTAAAAACGAAGAGATTTTTAGAAACTTATCATAAATACACACAGTTTTATGGAATAATTTCAAATTCTTTAAGACAAACAGGACCACGGAGTATTTGCCTGTATTAAATAAATCAATTATCAACGATAAGCAGAAGGGAAGAGCGGCTTTAAAGACAGTAATAGCTGACAGTTTTCCGTGCTCTGGTAATGGAATACTTTTATCACCTATACCCACCACTTTAGCCTTATAATGCAAGGTATAGTTCTAAACTTGTGTTTTTACAATTTAAGTTTTAAACAATTAATAGAAAGGTCATGTGACAGTTTGAAAATATAATGTATCACAAAACACCCTATCATTTAAAAAGAAAGGGCCTAATGCATACATGAGTCCACCGTCATTCAAGAGTTAACAAATATAAATAAATTATTAAAGGTAATAACAATTATTAGAAGTAACCCAATATACTTTAAGATAGCAGCAAGTAAATTTTGTATTGCTATGTGCGGCCAGGAAGGCATATATATATATATATATCCTATGCTGTTTTTTGTTAAGTTGAATGAAACTTTAAAATGTACTTTAGAAATATAATACGCTTAGAAAATATAATATTATAATAAATATAATATAGAAACATGCCTGTCAGAAACCGTAAGTTATTTCAAAGTCAATATTCATAGGATCGGCTCTGAGTAATAAGGTGGTCATCATCCAGGCATAGCGTAACTTTCTTCTTTTTTATTTTTGGCATAAACACAAAGTAGACCTCATTAAGCCTAATATGTTAGAATCAATTAATTTTCAGGACTAAGAAATAATGATGCAGTCACAACTGAAATGGAAATACTGAAACTTAACCCCAAAACAGTAAATGAATAATCTACCGTATTAAAAATCCAATGTCCTAGATAAGAATAAAATTGTCAAAGATAGGAAGAGATGGATATGACTGATTAAGGTGGCAAAGATTTAACAAAGTCTTTAATCTCAATAACTGAAAGTAACCTTTTATATGACATGCCTGTCAGAAACCGTAAGTTATTTCAAAGTCAATATTCATAGGATCGGCTCTGAGTAATAAGGTGGTCATCATCCAGGCATAGCGTAACTTTTTTTATTCTGTCATTAACACAAAATAGACCTTAATGAAGCCTACATTACTCGTTAGGCCTACTATGGTAGGATCAATTAATTTGCAGAACTAAGAATTAATGATGTATTAACAACCGAAATGGAAATACTGAAACAACCGCAAAACAGTAAATGAAAAATCTCTAAGATCGTCTTTCCTTGGAAAGAATAGCTGAAGATAGGTAGAGGTGGAAAAGGCTGTATGGAAGGGGAAGGGGAGGGCAAAAGATCTACAAGGTCTTTAATGTCAAACAGAAATTAAAAGGCTATAGAATATTTGTTTAATTTTAAGAATATTTGTTTATATTTATATTTAATATAGGCTACCAAAAATCTCAAGAAACGATAGTAACCTTTCATAAGACATGCCTGTCAGAAAAAATAAGTTATTTCAAAGTCAATATTCATAGGATCGGCTCTGAGTAATAAGGTGGTCATCATCCAGGCATAGCGTAACTTTTTTTATTCTGTCATTAACACAAAATAGACCTTATTGAAGCCTACATTACTCATTAGGCCTACTATGGTAGGATCAATTAATTTGCAGAACTAAGAATTAATGATGCATTAACAACCGAAATGGAAATACTGAAACTTAATCCCAAAACAGTAAATGAATAATCTACCGTATTAAAAATCCATTGTCCTCGGAAAGAAATAGTCAAAGATAGGAAGAGATGGAGATGACTGACTGATTAAGGTGGCAAAAGTTTTAATTTGCAGAACTAAGAATTAATGATGCAGTCACAACCGAAATGGAAATAAAAAAACTTAACCCCAAAACAGTAAATGAACAATCGACAGTATTAAAAGTCCATTGTCCTCGGAAAGAAATAGTCAAAGATAGGAAGAAATGGAGATGGCAAAAGTTTAACAAAGTCTGTAATTTCAACAGGAAATTAAAAAAAAACAAAACATAAAATCAAAAGGCTATAGAGTACTTGCCTAATTTAGTAACTTAATATTTATTTACATTCAATATAAGCCACCAAAAAACTGAAAGTAACCTTTCATATGACATGCCTGTCAGAAACCGTAAGTTATTTCAAAGTCAATATTCATAGGATCGGCTCTGAGTAATAAGGTGGTCATCATCCAGGCATAGCGTAACTTTCTTCTTTTTTATTTTTGGCATAAACACAAAGTAGACCTCATTAAGCCTAATATGTTAGAATCAATTAATTTTCAGGACTAAGAAATAATGATGCAGTCACAACTGAAATGGAAATACTGAAACTTAACCCCAAAACAGTAAATGAATAATCTACCGTATTAAAAATCCAATGTCCTAGATAAGAATAAAATTGTCAAAGATAGGAAGAGATGGATATGACTGATTAAGGTGGCAAAGATTTAACAAAGTCTGTAATCTCAATAACTGAAAGTAACCTTTTATATGACATGCCTGTCAGAAACCGTAAGTTATTTCAAAGTCAATATTCATAGGATCGGCTCTGAGTAATAAGGTGGTCATCATCCAGGCATAGCGTAACTTTTTTTATTCTGTCATTAACACAAAATAGACCTTAATGAAGCCTACATTACTCGTTAGGCCTACTATGGTAGGATCAATTAATTTGCAGAACTAAGAATTAATGATGTATTAACAACCGAAATGGAAATACTGAAACAACCCCAAAACAGTAAATGAAAAATCTCTAAGATCGTCTTTCCTTGGAAAGAATAGCTGAAGATAGGTAGAGGTGGAAAAGGCTGTATGGAAGGGGAGGGGGAGGGCAAAAGATCTACAAGGTCTTTAATGTCAAACAGAAATTAAAAGGCTATAGAATATTTGTTTAATTTAGCAACTTATATTTACATTTAATATAGGCTACCAAAAATCTCAAGAAACGATAGTAACCTTTCATAAGACATGCCTGTCAGAAAAAATAAGTTATTTCAAAGTCAATATTCATAGGATCGGCTCTGAGTAATAAGGTGGTCATCATCCAGGCATAGCATAACTTTATTTTTTATTACTGGCATAAACACAAAGTAGACCTCAATGACGCCTACATTAGTCGTTAGGCCTACTATGTTAGGATCAATTAATTTGCAGAACTAAGAATTAATGATGCAGTAACAACCGAAATGGAAATATTGAAACTTAAAACTATATGAACTATCGTAAAGATCCGCTTGTCCTCGGAAAGAATAGCTTAAGATAGGCAGAGGTGCAGAAGGCTGATTAGGGAGGCAAAAGATCTACAAGGTCTCTAATGTCAAAAAGAAATAATAAAAAAAAATAGAAGGCAATGGAATATTTGTTTAATTTAGCAAAAGTTTAACAAAGTCTGTAATGTCAACAGGAAATTTAAAAAAAAAAAAAAACATCAAATCAAAAGGCTATAGAGTACTTGACTAATTTAGCAACTTAATATTAATTTACATTTAATATAAGCTATTAAAAATCTCAAGAAATGAAAGTAACCTTTCATAAGACATGCCTGTCAGAAAAAATAAGTTATTTCAAAGTCAATATTCATAGGATCGGCTCTGAGTAATAAGGTGGTCATCATCCAGGCATAGCGTAACTTTTTTTATTCTGTCATTAACACAAAATAGACCTTATTGAAGCCTACATTACTCGTTAGGCCTACTATGGTAGGATTAATTAATTTGCAGAACTAAGAATTAATGATGTATTAACAACCGAAATGGAAATACTGAAACAACCCCAAAACAGTAAATGAAAAATCTCTAAGATCGTCTCTCCTTGGAAAGAATAGCTGAAGATAGGTAGAGGTGGATAAGGCTGTATGGAGGGGGAGGGGGAGGGCAAAAGATCTACAAGGTAAATGAATAATCTACCGTATTAAAAATCCATTGTCCTAGATAAGAATAAAATTGTCAAAGATAGGAAGAGATGGATATGACTGATTAAGGTGGCAAAGATTTAACAAAGTCTGTAATCTCAATAACTGAAAGTAACCTTTTATATGACATGCCTGTCAGAAACCGTAAGTTATTTCAAAGTAAATATTCATAGGATCGGCTCTGAGTAATAAGGTGGTCATCATCCAGGCATAGCGTAACTTTTTTTATTCTGTCATTAACACAAAATAGACCTTATTGAAGCCTACATTACTCGTTAGGCCTACTATGGTAGGATCAATTAATTTGCAGAACTAAGAATTAATGATGCATTAACAACCGAAATGGAAATACTGAAACTTAAAACTATATGAACTATCTTAAAGATCCGCTGTCCTCGGAAAGAATAGCTTAAGATATGCAGAAGTGGAGAAGGCTGATTAGGGAGGCAAAAGATCTACAAGGTCTCTAATGTCAAAAAGAAATAATAAAAAAATAAATTAAAAGGCTATAGAATATTTGTTTAATTTAGCAACTTAAATTTACATTTAATATAAGCTACCAAAAATCTCAGAAAATGAAAGTAATCTTTTAATTTACCAACTTATATTTACATTTAATATAAGCTACCAAAAATCTCAAAAAATGAAAGTAATCTTTCAATAAGATATGCCTGTCAGAAAACATAAGTTATTTCAAAGTCAATATTCATAGGATCGGCTCTGAGTAATAAGGTGGTCATCATCCAGGCATAGTGTAACTTTCTTCTTTTTTAAATTTTATTTCTGGCATAAACACAAAGTAGACCTTAATGAGGCCTGCGATGTTAGGATCAATTAATTTGAAGAGCTAAGAATTAATGATGCAGTCACAACCGAAATGGAAATAAAAAAACTTAACCCCAAAACAGTAAATGAACAATCGACAGTATTAAAAGTCCATTGTCCTCGGAAAGAAATAGTCAAAGATAGGAAGAAATGGAGATGGCAAAAGTTTAACAAAGTCTGTAATTTCAACAGGAAATTAAAAAAAAAAAACATAAAATCAAATGGCTATAGAGTACTTGCCTAATTTAGTAACTTAATATTTATTTACATTCAATATAAGCCACCAAAAAACTGAAAGTAACCTTTCATATGACATGCCTGTCAGAAACCGTAAGTTATTTCAAAGTCAATATTCATAGGATCGGCTCTGAGTAATAAGGTGGTCATCATCCAGGCATAGCGTAACTTTCTTCTTTTTTATTTTTGGCATAAACACAAAGTAGACCTCATTAAGCCTAATATGTTAGAATCAATTAATTTTCAGGACTAAGAAATAATGATGCAGTCACAACTGAAATGGAAATACTGAAACTTAACCCCAAAACAGTAAATGAATAATCTACCGTATTAAAAATCCATTGTCCTAGATAAGAATAAAATTGTCAAAGATAGGAAGAGAGGGATATGACTGATTAAGGTGGCAAATATTTAACAAAGTCTGTAATCTCAATAACTGAAAGTAACCTTTTATATGACATGCCTGTCAGAAACCGTAAGTTATTTCAAAGTCAATATTCATAGGATCGGCTCTGAGTAATAAGGTGGTCATCATCCAGGCAAAGCGTAACTTAATTATTATTATTTTTTATTTCTGGCATAAACACAAAGAAGACCTCATTGAGGCCATTGTCCTTTTCTCTGTCAAAACAGACCAATAGCTTTAGCAAACTTGTACATAAGACTGGGGTCAATTAATTTGCTGGTCAATAATGCAGTCGTAACTAACATGGAAATACCCCAAACTAGCAAAGACATCACTACAAAACCATAAATGAACAATCTATTATGTATTAAATAATCAATAATATTTAAGATATGATGTATTTTATCTCATTAATAAACAATAATGCACGAGACCAAAAAGCTATTGAGTATTTGTTTAATCTAGCAACTAAATATTTCTTTACATTAAACATAAGATATTCATAGGATACTCCCCAAAAACTGTAACAGGCTAGCTACTAAACAGCTGAAGTAAAATTCCCTGACCAATATGTCAGAATATACAAATTATTTCAAAGTCAATATTCATAGGATCGGCTCTTGAGTAAAAAAGAGATCATCCAGGCATAGCGTTTAATTTATGGTAATACTAGCATTGAATTAAATTTGTGTTCGTCAAATCCTACCATGATACAAAATATAAAAATTGATTAACTTGAGGCTTAAAATATCTCCTAACACCTTTAAGTGCTTTTTGATGATTATTATGTGTTGAAATTTGAGTTTCAATAATGAATGAATTAATTAACCTGGCTATTTTAAAGAAACTCTGATAAAAACAGTGGAAGTCAGTGTGTTACCAAAGAACTCACTATAATCTCCAATGTACAAATAACAAAATTATATGAGCAGATAAATTTTGGCTATTAGCCTTGGTAAATGCTTTTGATCATGAATTTAAAAGAAATAATTGTGCTCTTTGATCTCCTCCCTGAATAAAAAATTGTGGGTAAGATGTATAAATATTTAATATCCATTGAGTTGAGAACCTGATTTGTTAATAAGAATGCAGCAAGCAACCTATCCAATTGGGACTCAACAAAGAGGTAGGATATTTTTATTCTCAGAAAAACAAAATGGCAAATTAACATTTGAAACTTATTTATATGCAGAAGGATTTTTTAAATAAGTTATTATAGAAACCAAATCTTAAATATTAAGCATCTATATCTATTAAATGTTTTTAAAAAATAACTACTAAGCCTTGTTTTTTAAATTTGTCTTTGTTGAAATAATCATGACATCAGCTTTATCCAACATTTTACTGTCACAGCCCGACAATGTCCCGGAATTACAGTCAATATCAGAAATTGTCGTTAAGTTAACGTGGTTTAATGAACTCAATTTACTGAAATGTTGATTTTAAATAATCAAGGAAAATGCTCTCAGACATCCAAGGAAGATTAAGTAATCATGATAACATTTCATCTTGGAATTTATCATCATAGAACCATTACAATTCAATAATTTTGTTTTCAGCAAAACATAGGAATTGATAAAAAAAAAATAATAAAATAAAAAATGAACTATTCTAATGCTTACCAGAGTTATAATTTCTTGTTCAGATATCAGATGCTTAGCAGCAGCATCCCTAATGTCAGTGACTATTTCCTTAATAGGCTGCCCGTCCATTAATTTTTCTTTTAATTCTTTTTGAAGATCTCGCTTTGCTTCTTGACTGGCCTATAATTAAATCAATCATAATTAGTAATCAAAACAAGATAAAAAAGGAGATGGTGGTTGACTAATCAAATGATATAATCAGACATCCAAGGAAGAAATAAAAATCATCTTGAAATCACTGAAGATTTGTCATCACAGATAATATCGTGGTGTCCAAACCTACATAATTTGGACAGTAAAATATAAAGCATTTACAGTTAATTTATAGAATCCTACATTCCATTTTTTCAAGTTTAAAGAAAATATAATTCTCATTAAATTAATAATTAAAATTGTCTTTGTTTTATTATTTTGTAAATTTTAAACTTGGTCTCCTAACTTCCTTGATACTGTGTTTACAGTAAATACTTAAATATTATAAAATTCAATAAAAAGCTGATTTCCTTCAAGTTTCTTGCTGTCCTCGAATTTCTACAAACAGTAAAACTTGATTCAAAAGCAGACACTTGTCCGTTATAGAGAGATATCATTTTAGGGAAACTGGATGTAAAATATCATATTGTAATTTATATATCATATAAATGAAGCTGTTTTTTTCATTGAAAAAAGATTTTTGTTTTATAAATTTACAATATATTTTATATAATAAAAGATTATGTGTAAAGCATAAACTTGTACGCAAAAATAATTAAATTTTCCAATTACTTCAAAGAAATCTGCAATTTTTAGTTAAATTTTTTTTTCTCGAAATTTATTAGCTTACTAATTTGATGTAGAGGTTATGTCAACATTGACAGCAGTATTACATTTACCAATATCTCTATAACAACTTAAAATGATCCTAGGTCAAAGAAACAAAATGCATTTATTTTTATATAGGAATATGATTTATTTGAGAGGTAAGTATGGCCTTAATTCCTTATAGAGAACTTCTGATATCTTCAACTAAATAACATATGAAGTCTGAATTTGAGAAGCAATCAACAGTCAGAACTAAATTTGTTTGAACTTCATTTAATGCAGAGAGAAATCAATGTGCCATTTTTGGTGCAAGGGCTGTCTAAGATGTTACCAGTCCATTTGATAAAGGATCTTGAAGCACATGCTTCTTGTAGTTAGCTTTGAAAATATTAAATTAAATATTATCAACCACCATGTTCATTATATTTCACGGGCCACTGACACTTCTTTATTTGAATGCCAATTTAAAAGAAGGATATTGTGCTTTTTTAATTACACATTTCTCCAGAAATACATTTTTTTTTTTTTTTTTCAATTTTGAATAGAGTGATTGAAGTCGTAATACTAAATTTTTCATTAATAACGATTTTTGGAACTTAATTAAATTTCTGCAGATATGAGCTCCACTGGTTTTACAAGTGAATACGGATAGTTTAATCATAAATTTAACTAAAAAATAAACATTATTGAAGAAGTTAGCAATTAAAGAACCAAATAGAAGCCATGTTATGTTACAAAATTTGAATTACATGAATTTTTAATCTTAACTCACACAGACCACTTGGAATTAGAGTCTGCTAAAAATGAAAGTGGAGTCACATTTTCAATAACTAAAAATCCGTCATTAGAACTTTTTCTTAAAAAGGAAAGTAAACCGTCACAACCTCATTAAGAATGGATTATTGGACTAAGGCATATTTGATTTTAGAATGCTCAATATAAAATATGTTACTACACAAAATATATCAATACTAAATTGGTTTTCCACACAAAATTACGACTTGTTAATTTTTTTTATCATTGAAATATTCTACTACTTAGCTCTATAAAAATTAGACATTAAGAATAAATTTAATTTTTTTAATTGGTTGAAATTTAGAATAAACATATCAACAAATCATAAAATATTACTATGAAAAAAAATATAACAAACCTGAGCCAGATGCAGCTTCACAAGATCGGATAAACCTTTGTCATCAAATGCAGATTTTAAATGTTCTTCAGTGCGTTTATTAGGCGGGAAGAATTCCATAAGCCTGAATATAATAAAATTACTTAAATTTCAATATTTACTAAATGACTAAATCATTTTTCTTTGCAAATTGTAAAATATTTTAGAACCTTGTGGAAGACAATTATACGTTAATATTAGGGAATTATGAGAGAAAACATTAAAATTGATTTTCCACACTTCTAAAATTTTTTTTATGAATCTTTAATATTTAACAAAAAATTAATTTGTTTTAACAAATAACTTAAGAAGTTGTAATTACATCAGAATTCTAATAAACATACCTTCCTTCAAGACCTCCACGTTTTAGACCTGAAGTAAGACCAGCCATTCCTTTCTCCTGTTTCCATGTCACAAACACCTCAAGAAGGAACTCCAACGAGAGACCATCTTTGATGAGATGTTCCTAGAATAATAAGAAAATTTTATTAAAAAATTAATTTTGGTCATTTAATAAGAATTTTAACTTGAAGTAATTTTAAATCAGAATTTCTTTTCGAATTAGAAGTCTACTAACCAACTTAGTTTAAAGAGGGGATATCTCTTATTTATAAAATAGTTTTAATATTAATAAATAAAAGGAATTAATCAATTATTATTATGGAAAATGCTAATTACATTAGGAATAATCTTCTTTAACTGATTAAGCAAATTATTACAACAGCAATATTTAGAGGGAGAAAAAAATTGAAGATTTTGTTAGAAAAGATTAAATATTGCACATATTTTCATTAAAAAAATGTTTTACACGTTTTGGAAAAATCTGCTTATTGACTTACTAACAATCGATGCAATTCCCTTGAATAAACTCACTATAAAACCAACACAAATCATAGCTATGGCAGGCACAAGTTTTATAATGAAATAACAATAATATATGTTACAGCTAACATGAGTTCATTAAATTTGTAACAATCCTAATGAAACAAACCAACTGCTTGATTTAAAGTATACTTTATTTGTTCAGATTATTACCCAAAACATACCGATAGTGGTTTAACCGCTAATTAATCAAATTCTATAATAAATATAAAATTAAAACTGATTAAAATAAACTTACATTTATCAGTACTTGAAGGATAGTGGGCGGGATGGAGCCATTGGATATCCAGAGTGCAGTCATTCTGGCGAGTTTAATCCGCTCCTGCTCAGAGAAGCCCTTCAGAAAAACCAGAACTTTCTTCATCTCCTCCTCGAACATTTTCTCCAGGTATTTGTACCGTCGCATGAGCTTGGTAAAAACCTTAAAACAAATTTATGGTTAGATATTCTAAAACACAATCAGGTAATCAAAATTTATTGAAAACAAAGAATAAATACCTGTTCATAGTTTCGGAGGGATGCCATGTCACAGGGTGCCTCAAAAATACATGAATGAGTCTTGCACATTTTGTCTCCCTCTTGAGCAATTTGCCCGCCGGGGACTGAAAATAACAAAAAATTAATATTAAATACTTTAATATAAATTGAGAACAAAAAAACATATGCCATGTAATTAGTTAAACTATTAGTAAGGACATATTAAAAATACTTAATTTCTCAAAATTAAAAAAAGGACACTAAATATTTCAATACAAGGAGCAAGAAACTAAATAGCAAATAACAGAAAAATACTTAAAACAATTGTTCATATATATATTAAAAAAAAAGAAAGAAAAACCAGTAGTTTTAAGCATTTAATCTTCTTCAAAATAAGTATTTAACAAGCACTCTGATGAACACAATAATCAAGCATTAAGTTTAATAAATGTGCTCTGCTGTTAATTAATTATACATACGTTATTAAAAAAATGAATTAAGATTAATATAATAATCAGAAAATAAAAATTATAATAAAAATAAACAAACTGCATCCAATGTAACAAAATTAATAAATAGCATAAAATAAAAAAATAATGTGATATTCTATGGAAGTCATATTCCAAGGCAATCAACAACAAATTAAAGGAAGGTTACTGTGTCAAGGACAAAGTGGAACTAGTTTCTCTTTAACCTTAGCTAAAATGTCTAGAACAATGTTTAGTCAGAACTGAAGATATATTGAAGAAGGATAATATAATATTTAAGTAAAAATAATTCTGACTTAAAAGTAGCAGTCAATATTAAGTATTATTATTGAATGGAACAAATAACATAAGGTTAAATTTATTTTTTAATGAAGATGGTGGACACTGAATCAGTGATATAATTTAAAAGAACTCAAACAAAGAGTAAACCTTAATATAAACTTCAAAAGTCTGTAATATATGATGATAATAGTGAACACTATTGCAATCTTCAGATAAAGATATTAAGAATGCTTTAAGTTAACATACAAAAAAAAAAAAAAAAAAAAAAAAAAAAAAAAAAAAAAAAAAAAAAATCAATAAATACTTATAATATATATACTTACTGAGTAGACCTCCGGCAATGAGGATATCAAATAATGCTTCCCCATAGCGTCTATAGTCTAATTTTGAGCCGGCCGAATCTAGGAACTTTGAAACAGCTTCTAGGTCTGGACCGGCCTTATCCAGCCCAACCAGGATCGAGTCACGAAACCCGGAAGGGTCATACTTTTCTCTTTCATCTAGATGAATTAATAATATGAATTACCAAACCTTATATACCAAGAAAATGTTATAACTATCTTGAAAAAGATGATACAAATCATACAGAATATAAAATATAATTAACTTTTGGAAAAGTCCAAGTTTTATTCATGAATGGCATACAAAATTAAAAATTATTAATAAGGTATAATAACAAATTAGGGTTGATAAAAGACTAAAGTTGAGGTTAATAGTTTATATTCCTTAAAAAAATTATAGATCTTTTTAACTGCACTGAAAGATATAGATGAATGTAATAAAAAGATGAATCGATAAACAATTATGTTAAGTTAAAACAAGTAGACTGATTTCACAAAAATATATAAGAAACAGAAACCAACATGGTGGAAGGAAATGGAAAAAAAAAAAAAAAATGTTACAGAAATATGGCTTTCACTGCCATAAAACTAGTATTTTGATGAAATATCACTTATAACTGTAAAGTGAAATTAACACCTATTAAAAACAAACAAAATAAGCAAATTAGTTATGATAATGGATTCTGAAAATTCAGAGATGAGTCACTTGAAGGTAAACATCCCCATGACTGTTCACATAAGGAAGCTAGTACTAGTGTAAAATGCATATTCAAATTATTTTACACATTCAATACTAAATATAGAACAAGGGCATATCTGCTAAATTGAGATATACAAATTAAAGAACATTTATTTAAAACAAACCAATACAAAATTCACAATTAGATGAGAAAAAAGTTAAATTAAACAAAATGCATTGAACTTACAGAAAACGTAGCATTTGTTATTGAAGAAATTACATAGATAAAGTAATTGATGAAATACAAGAAACCAAACTTTACAGATTTAAAAGAAACATAAATAAAATAGGATAAAGACAACCTTAGTACTCACATTAAAAAGTATATATAAATTAATTTAAATCTGAACTATAACATGAAACTAAACTATAAAATCAACCTCTGAACAATGCAATGCTTACATGAAGAAATTTAGGAGCAGTGAATTATTATTAGGAAAAGAGAAAAGTAAAATAACTATTGCAGCTAACAGATGCAATAGAAAGCTAAGTGATATGGAAGGCATTACAACAAAATAACACACCAATTATATTTCAAGCAGCAGAAATTAAAACTATAAAAAAATCAATAAGACATCAAACAATTCTAATATGAAAGTAAAATAGAAAGAAAACACCCTTATGACTCACATTGCTGAAAAAGATAAGCTAGTTTAAACCTAACCTTAAGTTTTGAAATTAACTATAAAATCACTCTGAAAGTAATACCATTAAAAAGAAACATATTACAATTTAATATTTCAAAAAGAGATAAATTGAGTAACTATTGCTGACACATTGCAGCTTAGAATTCTAGATGCACTAGAGAAGTAACTGGTATTCAATGCATAACTTAAATGATACCCTTAAGAACACATATCAGTTAATCAATTTAAGATTATACAAAAACCATCTAAATGTCAGTAGTTAAATTATTGTTTAAAAAAAAAATTGATAAGGTTACCTCTTTTTCTGGTCTTGATGCGTTGACCTGAGAGCACTGGCTTTTCTGTTTTTTGACTCATACAATAACTGGCTACAAAGACAAAGAAACTTTTTAGAGAAAGGTAAGGTTAATAACACCATGACAAAGCAACATTAAAATTAATATTTAGAGTCAATAGATGTATGCAATAACACTAATAATTTAAAATTTTGAACAAAAATAACACTGGAAAATGAATATAACAATTAAAGGATAGCAGTACTACAAAGTACAGTTAGCAACATGTCCTACGAGAGAGCTTATTTACTGAAACTCCTATTGTTACGGTAAAAACAGTTCATTTCAATAATTTAATATAATATAATTCATTTTAAATAACTAAAACAAGAATAATGGATAGAGAACTTACGGAGAAACCTGTTAGCTTGCAGGACGAAATTCTTTGTGGAGCTTTGATGTTATGGAGGTGGTTAAAGGAGGGGGGATTGAGCAACGTGTGACGGAAAATCCGGTTGTAGGGTCAATGTACTGTTTTAAACTATTGAAACTCTATTGTTATAATTTCTATCTAATTAATCTATATATTCATTATTCTATAAAATTATCGATTGTTGGAATTAAAAATTACATTTCTTAACAGCATGAGGTGAGGTTACCTAAAATTTCGATCTAAGATAAATGTAATCATAGATAATAAAAACAATAAATTATTTTTTTAAATTTTATTGTAAAAAAGATTTAATCGTAGTTTATTAATTATAAAAAAATTTATACACCACTTAAAGTGCTGCGCCATGCGGGTTACTGTATTACTACGCATCACCTGGGATTTGTTTTTGAAATACATTCCTTGATTGTAAATATTGCTGTTTATGTTTATAATGGCTTGATACGTGTATTTTTAAGCATGTTGTTTATAATACTTTTATAATGGTAATAGTACCTAATTCATTTGAGACGAAGTGTGACGATACCATATTGAAACAATTGTAACACAGTTTATTACATAAATGTTTCTTCATGGTTTAATTCAAAACTTTGTCGCAATCTAAGTCCCCATTAAGTTATTGTAACAGTTTAACAATGTTAAGAAATTACTGAAAACTTATTTTGTAGAAGTTAGCCATATTTTTTCAATTACTATCCTTGGCATTCTGTTATCAGCATACCTTAATTCATGTTCCTTTCATTCCTTATTGAATTAGTAATATATAAACTAAATGAATAGTCATCTATTTCTTGAAAATTGAAATAGTTTAGACATATATAAGTATCCAGTTTCCCTCTGCGTATTTTGATATATGTATATGAAAATATTCTGATAAGAATTTGAAATAATTACTGACTACTATATTTTAATGGCACACAATAAACCTGACTAGGTCATGGTGCATTATGCCATTGTATATACTTAAAGGATTAAAATCAATGAGTTGTACCACTATAATCCCTCAAAGGCATTGAGTTTATTATTTGGTAAGGAAAATCTGTTCCTAGATTATTGGTTGTGAATAAAAGTTTGACCAGGTCACACACAACTATTTTTATAGTTTTTTTTTTGTTATTAAGGGTTCTCATTTTAAAGGGCGGATGTACTAAAGAAGGTTCTCAACCCCAGGAACAATTTATTGTTGATAAAATAGAATTAAGAATTTAGAGATGGATTGTAGTCGACTGATCAATTATTAGGATGAAACAAAATTGTCAGGATTTACAGTCAAGGAATGTTGGCTAACCTAATAAAAAAGTTTTCGGCTGTAAATCCTGACAATTTTGTTTCATCCAGAATTAGTAATTATGTCCACAGTTGGACTCGAAACTAACTCCAGGTGATAAGAGCACTGTACCTTACTTAGTAAACTATGCTGCTATATGACAAATTAACCTAGATCAAGATTTATTTATATCAAGGATGACAGGATATGTAATCCTTTAGTCCTTTAACTGATAAGCTTATTTGTTTTCATAGGAAACTACACCTACATTAGCACAATATACATTCAAGAATTATAGTGTAAATTTTATAAATGTTCTATATAATTTTTGTGATTAATCAATCAGTCTGTGTGAAGTGGTTCTTATTAACCTTTAATTGTTGAGGCTTTTGTTGTATGATTATTCTAGTACCTTTGATGATGAAAAATCTGAATCCTGTACAGTACAAGAATTAAAACAGTGTAATAAAGTAATCTCATCCTTCATTCTAATTTTATCAGTCTGTTACAAAGATTTTCACCACAACTTGTCGACCATAGATTAGCACTTGTAATCTTCTTTCTATCTAATAATTTTATTTTCTTCTCACTTGAAAAAAAATATTAGAACCTTTCTTTGGAATATCAGTCAGTATATATATATATATATTATATATATATATATATATATATATATATTTAATTTTTAAAAAATACTTTAATTCACTTAAAATCAGTTATAATGGCTTCATTAACATTTTTTTTTAATATAAAAAATATTCTAATAAATAACATCATTTAAATTAAGTTCCTCCTCAAAACTAATCTAAAACATTTTTTTTTCACTCAATTTTTTTTATTGAATGAAATATTATGGGTAAAAATATTATAAGAGTAATTGCTCTTCCCAGCTACTTCAAGGATTTTTTTACTTCTCAGTTGCTTTATTAAGACCTGTATCTCCTCTCAATGATCTCTAAACTGCTTTTACTGACAGGTGGAAATCATCTGATGTCTGATGACCACTTCTTTGACAGGATGGAATGGCTTGAGAGGTCATTACTGGTCCACTCATGTAATAACTTCTCCCAATCTACACATCACTCAGCAACTGTCTTCTAATCTCAGGGCCTCAAAATTTTTAAAGCATCCTCAAATGTGATAATGCTGAATACCCATACTCATTATTTTTCCATGAATCTTACCCTCTAAATCAGGGGTTTCCAATGTAGGACCCGTGGACACTGTTTACGTGATAGGGATGTCACCCCTAACTCCTAACCATGTTAGCATTGGTCTTGTTAGCATCTTATATAGCTGTATTTTGTATATAACTTTTCATGTAGTTCCTCAGTTCTGAGTTATTTCGTTTAGCTATTACTTTTCTCCTTTCAATTTTCTCTGACATGTCATTGCCGTTGTTAATCAGGCACTCCAGGATGGCAAATTACTCCACTTTTTCAATTTTTTTTTTTTTGGTCAAAATTAACAGTATCCACGTAGAGGTTAAATTCTATGCTTGGTTTTGATTGTGTTGACATTCAATTCTAGTCGTATGGCTATCATCTTAAGGGCAATAAAAGGCATCACGTTCTGTAACCTGTGATCTAACATTAGGTCATCCACATATCCAAGGATCTGGACAATTCTGTTGAATAATGTCCGTATTGTTGGGATCTGTGCATCTTACCATCATACCATTTTTTCCAATGCATGTTATTGCATCTCCTTGACTCACCCAATTCAATGCAATGTTCACCTGTGACATTCCACTATAGACACACAAAATATTCATTAGCTTCAAAATGGTTATGTACTGTAATACTGTAATAATCTAATTTAGGCATATTTTTAGAAAAGGGTGTTATTAGGATTAAAGATCTGGAATAATTTACTGACATGAAGCTAAATCCAAGGAAAAAAAGCCTATGTAAGATCTATGGTTCAGTACTTGGTAAGGAATTGTGTTCCTTGGTCATCAGTTATACAAGGAAATGATTTAACAGAGATTATGTTTTACCACCATTTTTCCCTTAATTAATTAAAAGTATCCACTTTATAGAGATTGTGTGTGGCTCAGGAGGATCTTCCAACTCCAGGATCAATCCAAGGCTGACGTTAGAGAAAAAATAATTACCTACCTCAGCTTAGGAGAACAGTGTCTTACTCACCAAACTACCCTGCTTAAATTTGAACAAATAAAGTAAAATTCTCAGTCTCTACTTATAAACTGATTTTTTTTAAATATTACCTAGTTATATTGTGATGTCTGGAAAAAAAAATCTTTAACTGTAAATAAATATCTCAAAAATAACAATACACCTGAATGAAATAAATAAAACTTTTTTCAGAAGTGCCAAAACAAACCATATTCAGATAAAAAGCTTTAATGACCACAAAACTAATTCAAATGGAGTTGGATCTTCCATAGAATATTCATATACTCTGACAGAATTTTACATTGATAACAGAGGCCATTATGGCCAAGTCTGTATAGCATCCTAATACTATTTTCTTTTTAAAATTATATCCAATGAATAGTGATGGAGAAAGTGCTCACTCCTGAAAAACAATAATAAAAGAAAAAAAGTCCTACTTTCTTTACTAATGATAAATTAATTACAATTTGATTATATTCAAGATATCTGTAAATAATGAGAATTGTCTAAAGAGCTGATAGCACAGGCAGATCTACGGGAGAGGGAGGAGCTTTTGGGCTGAAGTATTATTTCTTGTTTAATTATATTTAATAGGATTTCAAGAATCACTTAAACACAATTTTGTATATGTAGTTAGTATCTTTCTTTTTTTTTTTTTTCCAAAGTAATTATCGTTATATATATGAAAAAAAAAAGCTGTGCTGAAGTCCTCCCCCCCCAAAAAAAATTAAATCCTGCCTTTGCTAGTGGCTGATAGTACTCCTTAAGAGCAACCGATTCCAAACAGATTAAATTCCATACAGAAAATTTGTTTTGTGTTATTTTAAGCAAGACACATTTTTCGTTAAATGAGATATGATT